GGCCACTTGGGGAGAACGACTCCTCCGTTAGACCTTTTAACTTAGTTCGCTACTAAAATTGACCAGTCATGCCATAAAAAATAGAAAAGCAAGTTGAAGAAATTCCAAAATGTATTAAAGACTTTTCAACAAACACACAGCTTCTTCCACACTTTGATACCCCACCCCACTCATTCTCCTTTCCACACACTTTCCCTCTCTTTTTCTTCCCTCTCCTCCTTTTGGATTTTCTTTCCTTTTCTTCTGTGCCCAAACACTTTTTTTGACTTTCCCAAGCATTTCATCAAGGTATGAAACCCTCCTCCATCTTCCCTGACTCCGACACTCCCCTCATCGTCCTTCTAGTACTGCTTCAGATTTCCCCATTTCTCTCATGACTTTCTCTCCCTTCTTTCTCCCATCAGATAATCCCCACCATCCTCAGAATTCAGTCCCCACCCCAGCAGTGTCATGCGTTCCCCACAGCCCCTCCGCAACGGCGACACGCCGTCGCCGCACCACCGCACCCCTGACCAACACCCACACTTCCACTCCACCGTGGCGCTGCGTAAGCTCAGGCGATTCAACTTGCTCATTCTACTGTTTCGGTTTGCCGCCTTCTGCTTCTCCCTTGCCTCCTCTGTTTTCATGGTCACGAACTCCGGCGGCTCCGATTCCCCTCATTGGTACGATTTTGGAGCTTTCAGGTGCGTTTTAACTTAAGCACTAGATCTCTTGATTGCGATTTGCTTCTGGGTTCAATTTCATTTTAGTCCTCAATTGTAATCCCCGCAGATTCGTTCTCGCTGCAAACTCAATAGTGGCGCTGTACTCCCTCTTCGAAATGGCCGCCTCCGTCTGGGAGATCTCCCGCGGAGACACTCTCTTCCCCGAAAGCCTCCAGGTCTGGTTCGACTTCTGCCACGACCAGGTCCGGTCCCTGTCGCAGCCACCGTACTATTTCCTCTTCCGTCTCCCATATTCTATGCGGAATTTGAACCGAGCTTTGTTCTTGTAGGTGTTTGCTTACCTTTTGATATCGGCGGCGTCGGCGGGAACAGAGCTGGCGAGGACGCTGAAGGGGAAGGAGACATGTACTGCGACGAACGCATTCTGCGTCCAGGCTGATATAGCGACGGCGTTGGGATTTGCCGGCTTCCTGTTCCTGGGGTTCTCGTCCCTATTATCGGGTTTTCGGCTCGTCTGTTTCATAATCAGCGGCTCTCGTTTGCATCTTTAGAATTGACGGTTGCAATTAATCGCCTCCAAGGCTTTGAAATTTTTTTCTTTTTCTCTATATCTTAAGTTAAGAGGAACTCTATTCCATCCTTAACTTACCCAGAAAAAAAATTATTACTTGACTATTTAAATTATTACCAACTCCTACGCTTTTATTTTGTTGACTGATTTTGCTGCCTCTTTCTTCTGTAGCCATCAACATGATATTTGTTCTATCTTTTTTTAAAAAAAAAATTTAGTATATTGTATTATTATTAATTACTTGTGACATTTAGTTAAACATTTTCCAAAATTATCAAGCTAAATTGATTTGATTTTTCGACATTTTATGGACATCAAAACTTTTGCAAGTTTGTGCTTAACATGAGTAAAATTGCGAGTATGTTTGAATTCATGCTCAAGCTTGAGCTTGCACGAACATACTTCATATGGAACAACACCTTTAGAGCTTATAAATTCACGTGATATCTTTTGCTCAGTAAAGGGAAAGGGAGAAAAATGAGAGTGGTCAGAAAAAGGCAAAGAATTGTGTGCGCACAAGAGATTTAGCCAAGTACAACAACAGTCCAAAGCATAAGGGACAATTCCGAATGGTGGTGCCAAGTACTAACAATCAGCATTCAACAATCTCAATTATTGCCACTGGCGTTACGGACAAGGAAATGAAGAGGGAAATGCATCAGGTTCTTTCAAGAATGGTATCACACCATTCAGTCCAACGTTAGTTGTTATGTTTCCAATCATTCTTTGAACCAAATTGATGACTGAAGAAAAGAGGCAGACCAGAAATGAGTGATGGAAAATGACTTCTACTAGAATTTATTATGATAACAAAGCTAAATAGTGTCATCTAGATTCCTATGTATTATTATCCCTGCACATGACTGTTCAAGTAATACCTTGGCTTTCAGTTTGCTTCAGATTTTGGATCGGTCATCACATAGTGGTATGCAATTACCAGAGCAACAGTGAAAATGCCCAGAAAATTGGCGAAAAATCCCAGGTCTTGATCATCAATCATCTGCACCTGAAAAAATAGAATTCACATATCATACCACACTCAGAATGAACCTGTTAAGATTTGTAATTTTAAAAGCTACTAGATTAGCACATATATTATCTCAAGGAATTCTTAAGTTGCAAGATTATTAGTGACAAAATGCCAATGGAATTCTGGTTATCCAGCTTCACATGAATGCTAAAGAGAATGTGTCATTTCTTACTATCACTAGCATTGAATTAGATTTCAACCAGCCAAGCAGTCTCACTGAAAAGACCAAGTCATTTCTTCTAGACTACAAACATTTCCTTTCTTCCAATCCTACAAATTGCACTTTCTATTCTACAACCTAAACCTAAATAGCCTTTTTTGTATAACAATGAAACAATTACCCTTTTTTTTTTTTTTTGCGCTGGCTCAGCAAAACTGATATAGCTATTGATCAAATAGAAAACTGAAGCAATGATAATATCATCCAACCAGTTACTTTCCAGTGACAAAACATTTAGAGTTTCATTCCTCTTTCCATCAAATAAAAGTTATCACAATTAATGAAATCAAAATTGTAACTCTAGATAACAAGCAACAACGAATTCATCACAAACTTTATGATATTTCACTACTTCAACCAGCTAAACACAACAAATCATTATTAAATAGAACAGCTCATTGATATCTTCCTTTTTGTCAACTTTATACCCAATCATCAGATTTGACTATTTCAACTACCATACACAATAGATCAATGATTATCAACAAGCAAGGTTTCATATTATATTGAAATAAGGTGATGATGACATTGGGAGTAACGGATTAAACAAAAAAATGACATAAGGAAGCAAATTTTCTAATTCATTCATTACATGAACTTAATTTGGAGAAAAAAAAAACAACCAACTTGGTAGCAACACTTTCACTGGTACAGAGCTTACTATCCTAGTTAATTTTGAATAGAACAAGAAATGGAAAGCCCGATCGCAGTGGGATTTGAACCCAGGACCTTTAGATCCGGAGTCTAACGCGATATCCACTCTGCTCTGCAATCATGCTTCTAGTATTCCTCTATTATTCAAGAATGTAAAATCTACGGAATTGGCTCAGGCAGAAAAAACAGGCAGAAAAATACAAGACGGCGATCAGGCTGGAAAACTCCGAATCGCAAAGTCCAGAAGTGCAAAAAAGCTAAGTTGTATCAAATGTCCCCTACTAGGGAACCAACCATTAGCAGTCGATGATGAAATCTGAATATGCTATATGGTCGCATCCCCCGGCTATTAACCCTAATAACAGAGTGCAACCGAGGCAGAAGGAGACGAATCACATAACAGAACGCTTACCTTTTGGAATGAAGAGACGCGAAACGGCCAAATCGACGACGATGACGACGGCGGCGGCGGCGGCGGCGGCGGCGGCGGCGACGACAATGAGACCTCTGAACAACGACGAGTGTCCAGTGCCAGCTCCTCCGCTTTTCCACTCGGACTTTAAATGGCATTTTCGAACCCGATACGCGGACGTTTGCAATAAAAAAATATTTTTTAAAAAATGAAAATAAAAACGAATTGTGGCTGCTGGGATTCGAGCCCAGGTCTCCACGGCCACAACGTGGAATTCTTACCACTAAACTACAGCCACCAGATGGTACAAATTCCAAACCATTAAACTTATACTTTACAGTAATAGTGGGTTAGCATATCATATGCGGTGAATGCGAAAGCTTAGCAGTTTTGCGCTTAATTAGTCAAACATTAGCTGTATCAGACGTGGCAGATTAACTCCAGCACAGTATAACTTTGTAGATTTTTTATTTTTTTTAAAAG